TGGGCTTGAACTGCACAGGTCCACTTATACGTAGAATGTTTTCAGTAAATTTATCGGAAAAATTTTTGAAGATTTTCTTACTACCACTTAAGCAATCGTATCAATTACACTAGACTACCAAAAAGCAATCATATTGCTCCTTCTTGGTTATCAATGCACAAATTGTTATACCTGTAAATAAATGTGAATTTATCTTTCACACTGTCTTTTCATTTTTGTTGTCTAATGTTAGTTATACATGTAACATCTACAGTGTTTTGCATCATATATGACAAATTGATATAGATACTGATAGATGCTTTATCTTGTAAACAGATGACATAAATTTATGATATTGATAAATACAGTAAAGTACTGTAAATGTATCTTACCTTCCTTATGATTTTCTTAATAATATTTCTTCCTTCTAGCTGACTTTATGGTAAGAATAAAGTATGTAACACATATAACATATGAAATATATAGTAGTTGACTGTTATATTATTGGTAAGGCTTCTGGTCATCAGCAGGCTATTAGTAGTTAAGTTTTGGGGGAGTCTAAAGTTATATGCAGATATGTGACTTCATGGGGAGTGTCAGTATCCCTAACCCCATATTGTTCAAGGATCCACTCTATTTGCCTTTAGTGCTTTTAATATTGCAGCCACTCAATGTTTAATAGTATATCAATGACCCATTCATGACTGGGTAAGAAAAATAGACTAAAAATCAATGATTTGGGTCCTATTTTGTGCTACTTCGCTGTTTCTTTTTGGAGCTCATTTGATTGTCTCTCAAGTCCTTGCTTTTTAATGGGAAAATAAGTGCATATGAAAAAAGACATCTTTCACCACACATAATTGTTCCAGCAACACCATTATTAATTCTCACTCCTGTTTCTCCAGCCCTAACTTATTCTTCCCGATCACTTTTCACTGTTCCTACTCTGACTGTTCCTTGACCTCAGGGGATCCTTTCTTTCCACTATGTAGGTGGAGTTATCTTTTGAAACAAATTCTGACTATGTTACCTTCCTGTTTGTGACAATTCAATGATTTTCTCCATTGCTTATAGAATAAAACAAAGCTCCTAATATGATATACAAAAGGATCAACTTATTTCTCTCCATGTTTCCAGCTCATACTGCCCCTTACTCCAACTCCCTCTCTCTGCTGTCACCACACTGGCCTTGTTTTCAACCTTTTATCTTTGCCATGCTCCCTTCAGCCATTGGTTCAACAGGCATAAAGTTCCTTCCATCTGGAATGTTCTTCTCTTCCTTCCTCACTTATTACTCCTCCTGATCTTTGCTCGACTGTCATTTCCTCAGAGATGCCTTTCCTCATTGCCCTAACCAGGTATAATCCCATGTTACAAAGACTACTAGGTCCATGCTCCTTTATTGCATTTACAGTGCAATTTTATAGCAAATCATAGGATTATTTAATTGATGTCCTATTTTGTCTAGGAGAATATTAGCTCTACTAAAGCTAGGCCTTTCTCTAAATTTACTCACCACTGAATCGTCAGCCCAGTATCTGGTATGCAACAGAGGTGCTCTGTAAATATTTCTTGATTGAGAACACAATAAAGTTCCTTGAGAATTCTCAAGATGAAGACATTACAAGGTATTTCCTACAAGATACACAATGTAATGTATTCGTTCCAAAACATAGTTATAACTAGAGATTTTCCATGGAGCAGTCATTCTTCATGTCTATTAGTTTTCATTTTTTTTCTTGTCTTCATTTTTTAATTTTACTTGCAGTCCAAACATAGGAGCTTTGGTGTTGACTGTGAGTGGAATACTTCAACAGAATTTGCTCTCATATGACTCATGGTGAAATAATGCAATTGCTTTCCTTTAATATCATTTTCTTGCTGTTCATTAGTATTAACATGAATATTGCATTCAAATACCAGATGATTCCATATATCTATGCCCTTTTTTGTATATCTCTATTTTCTATCATTTCATTAGTATGGATATTAGCAAATATTGCATTTTCTATATTATATGATAATATTAACTCTAAAATACTTACAATTCCATTGGAATAAACATAGTAAGTTCATTTAAACCAACAAATATTATCTGCTTTAAAAATGAAATTATTTTAAATTGTTGCATGAGTAATAGAAATGCAAAATGATATACATCTTTACAAGACTACTAATGTAAAACGGTAATGAGCAATGTAAGAGCGGAAACAGGATTTTACATTTGACCTGCATTGGTCTTGTACCAAAGGCATCTCTAGCCATTAGCTCATAGTCATGCAGCTGTAATCACTTTAGATTGTGGCCCCAACAACCCTGCAAAAGGGGACTGGTGAAAGATACCAAAGGTGGCCCAGAGCAGGTTTTATTGCTAACTAACAAGGGCCTCAATAAAATAACATAATTTTAGAATAAAAAAAAATTAAAAGATTATCGAGTTCAAACACATTATTTTATACATGGGGGAAACTAAAGCTAAGAGGGGACAAATCATTTGTCTAATGCCAATACCCAGTTGGTGGGCCAGCCAGGGCTGAAACCCAGATTGCTCAGCGCACAGCTATTTCTACTACATTCCATTGCCTGATCACATTAGTTCTGTAAGATTCTCTAGGAAAATGAATCTAAGCAATAAACCCCAGGTCTAGACCACTTCAGTAGCTGGAAAACCCATAAACATTTTTTTATAATAACATGAGCCACATCTTATTAGCTAGCAAAAATTAATATGAACAAGTAACCATTATCCTCTGTGCACTTAGCATTCTTTAAATTTCTCAAATGAACATAAGAAATATTAACAAAACTCCTTTTCTCAAAAATAATGTTTCTATATCACTAAATTTCTTTGCTGAATTAAAAATGCCAATACAGGCTTTTAGGGAACACTTTCCATTTGTACATTTCTAGCAACATTTTTTGCAGAAATGGGCACTGATACAGGATGTCATAGTATCATGCTCTATCAGCGGTATGTTCATAAACTAGCTCTCCCCCCCAGAAATAAGACATAAAAATTTTTAAAAGCCCTGATGTGTAAGGCTCCCTTCTTCCTGTGACATAAATCCTCCCACCATGGCCAACCTCAAGATACTGAGTCTGTAACAAATTACAGAATTCCAGGATATTTAACAATTGGCTCTAGTGCACCAATCAGAGGCAGCTCCGGCCACCACTGATACTACAGGGAGGAAACTGAGGCTCAAAGAGAGTCAATGATCTGCCTCAAGATCATAGAGTAGCTGTGCAGGTCGAAATACAGAGAAGTACAGCTCAACAACCTTCATATATTAAGTGAAGCCTGATGCATTAGAAGTAGTCAGTGGTCTTCATATTATTGCAGAGAAATGCATCCCAAAAAAACCAGCACCATCAACACCACCACGGAGCCTGTGAGAAATGCATATGCTTGGGCTTCTCCCCAGACCTAGTGAATCTTGGGCCCCAGAAATCTGTGTTTCAGTGAATGCTCTGACTAGTATAGAGCAATGGGAAACAATCTTTCTGTAATATCCAAGATTTTTTTTTTATGAATGAGATTCATATACAAAATAAAATTAATATCTACCCTTCTTTTTCACATCAGATTCCATTACAGAAAATACTTTGTCTGAAGCTTCTCACAAAAAGTCCGCAAGCTTTCACATTTTCAAAGACCTTACTTTTCAAAATGGTTTAGGTTTTTCTAACAGCAACAACAAAACGTGAGTGATTTACCCTCCAATTTTCAATCTCAACATTTCATAGACCAAAAGCTAACATATATTCATATGTCTTCGTCCTGGCACATTTTGTTCTTTTTTTTAAAACTGCTTCTAAATAATTTTTTTTCAAAGTGCCCCCACCCTCATGCACATTCTGCCTAGTCAACTGGTTATATTTTAGCATATTTGTGTTTTGGTTTATCTGCCACTTCCTGTTGTTTTGCCATTTGTTCCCAATCTTATAAACCAGAACAAAGGCAAATAAATACTGTCTGCTTTGTTTTCCTCTTCCAATATTTCAGAGGTTGGAAAATATACAAAATAAATATCCTCTCAACCTTCTTGTAAAAGCATTGCAAAAGAGAAAAAGAACAATTGAGTAATAGTTTCCCCTAATTTAAAAATACGCAGCTAAGGCACAATCAAATAACAAAATGCTGTGCTGATATTACTTTGAAAATCATCAGGCAATAATCTAAAAACACAAATCTATGATTCTTAATTCAGTATCTATTATTAATTTTACCTGGATTATATATTTACATATGTTCAATTTATTTTCTAAGAAATAAGAGAGTTAATAACATGTGTTGGTAGATAATGGAATAATGGAAAAATTTTGGAAGGGCATTTAATCACTAGCACATTTCCTAGAAAATGTAAAGCTACTTGGTGAGTGCAGTTCATGGCCATGGTGGAAAACAGCTTCACTGAATTAGAGAATTTGCCTCATAATTCTCCAAATACCTGGTTCCCATTGAACTGAGGTTTACCAAGAACTGGCCAGAAAAGCTTTGCAACACAGGAGTGAACTCTCCTGACATCTACCACCTCTTCTGAGTTTTTTATATTTTCCTCAATAATAATTCTGGG